AGATAACAAGCAACAACTTCAATTCAATTGTTTTAATGTAGCAATGCATCCATGAAACAGTTATAGTAGTGTACGTGAACCTTGTGCAAATGAGCACACTAAAGAATTTTGTATTTTTAGAAATTATGACAAAATATCAGTGAAGCAGTCAGAAGCTAATCTTTGTATGTGAACTTTGGACTCAAATTTGAACACAGCACATCCATCTTATGAAGAACTGAAAAGCTAATCTTTTGAGTGTTCTAATAAGATATAAGTGTTATGTGTTCACATTTATATCCAAAGTTCAAACAGGAAGATACATTCATTGATTTGATCTTCTATGAAGTCTTTTAGTCCAAAATTCATACTGATTCAAGCCCTATGAAGGCCTGACTGGCTTTCCCGGTTACAGGATGTTTTTTTCACCTGCTACTTGTGTAGTATTTGCCAAGGCTATGACTTCACACAGGTACATCCTTGACATGTACCTAAATGTATTAATTTTACACTATGCTGATGTCACATGGTACAATTGGCTGATGTGATGCCAGGATCCATTGCCAGATTACAGGCTCTGGCAATGCCTGTGATGTCCACTCTTGGAAAACAGAAGCAAGATGAACAAGGTGAGTGTGGCAGCGGAATTGCTTAAAGGACCAAGTATCCTGATTGAAGATAAGGTGATGCTTGGAACTTTTTTACAAATGTTGTGTCTGAAAATATTATTGGACTTTTAAAAAATGTTTTGTTAAGTTCTTGAATTTGCCAGTGTTTGGCTACGTCCCCACAGGAATGGCAATGGAGTAAATGATCTGTCCAACGAGAGATTACAACAGATTTAGGGGCAGCATTGCCACTGCCTCTGTGTCTACAGAATGGTAGGGAAAGGGAGCAAAGTTTCTGGAGATGGCTGGTTCTATTCCAGGTCTTCTTGCAAGTCTGATTGTGAGATACCTGTACCATTAAACAGAATGGTATTGCAAATACTGCCCATTAATACCAGCACATAACAGCCTAACAAGCAGTCCTTAGAATGACTGTGAAGGCACTCTTTTTCTCAGTGACATTTTTCTAAATTGATTTTGAGTCAGGAGGAACATGAGTGTTCTTCCTAATCTTTTGAAATCTTAAGGCCTACTGATAGCCTAGTTCTCTCCAAATGTCTTCCTTTCTCTTTTGGGCTCGACACTGCTAGCATGGTTTCAAAGGTGAACTGAAGGATACCCCTCCTTCCCCGGTGCTAAGCTGTCAGCAACTTTCTTCCTTTTTGGGTGAAACTTGAAAATTTCCCCCATGTGGTTCACTTGAAATATGTGAATTGTTGTCATTAAAAACTGGTAAAGAAATTAACATAGTTCAACAAAATCAGCTGGGAACATATGCCATGATACATGAAGTGTCATTTTCTATAGATTGAGCAAATTATTATTTATGTGCAGGGCATTCTGGGGAGCTTCAATTTGATTGCCTTGCAAGCAGCATCAGAGGTTCAAAGTAAAGCTGCAGTTAGCCACTACTTTGTCATTGATACAAAGTTTTGTATACACAACAATGCAAAAATAGTTGATTAAGTCAAAAATCAAATCAGTAATTTGCCCCCTAAGTATAACAAAGCAAGAGTTTGAGTCTCGCTGTACATTTTGGCCTTCAGTTTAATTGGAATTTCTTTAATGTTAATAGAAAACAAATCTTCCCACCAGTGCTCTCATAACATATTAGTTAATTGTCATTCTGGGTGGAATGATCTGTACATGTGCTGAAGTTTCACCTGGCTGTGGAGTATACAATGTGCAGTAAAGTGGATCTACAGCTGAGCTGTATTAATATAGGTAGAAAACTTTAGAGTCTACTTGTGGTGCATCTTAGTGTCCCTACCTCTGAACCAGGAGTCCTATGTTCAAATCCCATCTGCTCCAGAGATGTAATAACACAGTGGTCATAACCCACCTCAGAGCCAGAAGA